CACCTTTTCCTCGAAGGGCTTTTGGCCCTTTGTTCTTTGTGTGAACTGGAGTGATTCAGGTTTTGTCTCTTCTCTGAGCTGCCACCTCCTGCCTTCACAGCATGGGATTTTCTCCAGCCAATTTTGTCTCAAAGTAAGCTTATCTTCCCAGCTTTCCTTGTCTTGGTCACTGTGTCAGTTGGGGACCAGTCACGGAAACAAACTACTCTAGATATTTTAAGCAGGAAGGCATTTATTTCAGGAAAATAGCTGTTTTACCAAACCATTAGAAGAGTTGGAGGAATGAAGGTCAGGAAAAGTCATCCTTCCCTCTCGACTTGCCACTAGATTTCAGAGTCAGAATTTTAAAGTGGGCAATTTGTGGGAAATTATCTGAAAGCCACTGTAAAAAACTTTTATCTTCTTGCTGCTGTCTGAGGAGAAATAATGGATGGTTTCTCCTTCTTGTTTTCTACCCATATCTTTTCTGAATGCCTTTCATTGCTTGGCACTAAACTGAACTCCACTGGGAAGGGATTTTGGAAAATGTAGATCTCAAATTTCCAGTCCTTGTGATGTGGGACAGCACAGAAGAGGGTGAATTTCCAATAGATAATCTGGCAAAGGAAGACAATCCACCAGAGGAAGAACCCAACTTCTTCCTTTTAAAGCTTTGTCTGCTAATCAGAACAGAGATGCTTTCTGAAGACAGTGAGGATTTGCCTGGAGGATGCTCCTGGAAGGAATATTCAGCCTGCAAAAAGCAGATCAGTTTTGTACAAAAGGTAGTGTGGGTGGGGGAACAACAGCTTTATTCCAGGATGATTCATGCAGTGTACTCCACCCTCATGATGGAGTCAGTTATGTCACTGAATGGACTGCCTACTCCTCAGGCAACCTACAAAGAAGACTGCTTGCCTCCTGTTCACATAGAATTCAAGGTTAAGAGATAGGTCTATTGAAAAAACACACAGGGAGAGGAAACTCAGGCTAGCTCTCTCTAGAGGAATATGAGTAGGCTACCAGGCAACCGAAGAGAATATTTAAAACATTTTTTTTTTAAGCAAGCAAGCAAACAAAATAATCTCCCTGTAAAGGAATGAGACTTGTCATGGTTAGTAATGTCAACATTGTGAGGGAAAAATTATTTAAACCCAGAACTGTGAAGGAGAAATAGAGCCACACACTAGTTAAAGGCAGCAAAGACAGATTTTATGCAGTACTATTGCAATAGAGCAAAGAGGCTTCAGTAAGAGAAGCTCAACTCCAAATCGAGCAAAAACAGCTCGCAGTTTATAGTCTATGAGCAGAGCAAGAGGAGTCAGTGGATGGAAAATTACTAAGCGGAGACCTCAGGGGATTCTTTAGTCTTTTTATTTTCTTAAGATTTTATTTTTAAATGACTTCTATACCTGACATGGGGCTACAACTACCCTGAGATCAAGAGTAGCAAGCTCTTCTGACTGAGCCAGCCAGGTGCCCTGAGTGTAGGGGGATTCTTGATAAACTTGTCTAACAGGATTCTTTAGACATTAAGGGTGTGGAATGAGGAACTTGATCAAATATCAATGGCGATCAGATATCAACGGAATTTAAAAAAAAAAGATATCAATGGAATTCTTGCCAAACTGACTTAGCAGGATTCTTGCTAAAACTGGACTGTGCAGGCTGAGGACAGATCAGTCAGTTAAGCATCTACCTTGGGCTCAGGTCGTGATCCTAGGGTCCTGGGATTGAGCTCTGCATCGGGCTCCTGGCTCAGTGGGGAGCCAGCTTCTCCCTCTCCCACTCTCCCTGCTTTTGCGTGTTCTCTCTCTCTCTCACAAATAAAATATTTTAAAAAGTGTTAAAAATAATATGAATGGCATAACTATTTACAATAATTAACAAAAATTGAGGTGGAGAGGAGAAGTAGAAAGAAGGGGAAATTTGTTAATTTATCTTTTACTGTTAAAATCAACAAGCCAACAAGTTATACCGATTGAAGAAATCGTGATAAATATCCTAGGGTCCTGGGATTGAGTCCCGCATCAGGCTCCTTGTCCAGCAGGGAATCTCCTTCTCTCTCTGCCTCTGCCTGCTACTCTGCCTGCTTGTGCTCTCTGACAAATAAATAAATAAAATCTTGAAAAAAAATCTTAAAAAAAAGATTTTATTTATTTTTTATTTTTTTAAAGATTTTATTTATTTATTTGACAGACAGAGATCACAAGTAGGCAGAGAGGCAGGCAGAGAGAGAGGAGGAAGCAGGCTCCCTGCCCAGCAGAGAGCCCGATGTGGGGCTCGATCCCAGGACCCTGGGATCATGACCCGAGCCGAAGGCAGAGGCTTAACCCACTGAGCCACCCAGGCGCCCAAAAAGATTTTATTTTTAAGTAATCTCTGCACCCAACATGGGGCTCAAACTCACAACCCCAAGATCAAGAGTTCCATGCTATAAGCGACTGAGCCAGCCAACTGCCCCCAAACCGAGAAATCTTGGTACTACTTTTATCCATTGCTGCCACCAGGTAATGGTATCATGATCTTTTTTAATGGCTCCAATAATGGAAATAGATTGTTTCTCAGTCTGAAAGTATTCACTATAAGTGGTCAGTTGGTGAACTTTCTGTTCATTTTATTGAAAAGCCAGTAGACATCGAAACCTGGATTATTAATAAGCATGATGTGTTTTTAATAGCAAACAATTTAATTTAAAAACTTAATTTATATAAAGCAGTTTCATTTCCTGTGTGCAAAAAAAAGCCCATAATAATAACAACAAAACACAACTGAAACCTATGAGCATTCATGTACTACTCCACTGTTCCTTGTCTATTTGGGGAATAGGTATGCATCTTACTTTCAGTACTCTTTGAAGTCACACTGAAATTCAGGCTTTGCAAGTTCTCACTTGCTGTTACAGTATTAATAAGCTTCAGAGGCTGTTTATTAAGATAACAACTTGGCATTGTCTTAAATTGAAAGAACTTTACTTGTCTCTCACTAAATGGTTCCTCTTCAAACCAAATCCAGAGGAAGTAAGAACTTTGTTGGTACTTTTCTACAGGGATACTATGAACTATTTGATTAAAAAGTGCTTGGGTTGGGGGTGATTGTTTTAACCTCTTTGTGGTTTTCATTTGCTTTTATTGTGTTTATTTCAAGCCTTCTTTCCACATCAATAATTCCATTTCCAACCATGTCTACTTATTTCTTGCCGTTTTGATGTATTATTAGCTCTAAAATGGGATTGCTTTGGTCTTTGCTTTATAGGATGTGCAATTTCCCTATTCATCTCTTTGAGTTGTTTAATTACCTCATTTTTGAGTTCTTAGTCTACTGAGCTCATTTTCTTTTTAGGTTATTCTAGAGCTTAAAGCACTTGGGGTGAATGTTTTCCGTTTCTCTACCTGCCTCCTGAATTCCTTCTCACTTTATCTGAAATGGACTTGGTTTTCTAATGAACTGCAGCTTGAAAGTAGCTATTTTATACTATATGCACTTTTCTTATGACTTATAAGCTTGTCTAAAAGAGCGGAGGGCAGAACATAGGGGAAGTGGTTTGTTGTCTTTGCTAGAATTCCTCCATGTTTTCTGAAGTTTGAGGAGTCTATTTCAAAGTTCACTTGACTAGGGATTGTTGTATCCCATTCCTATACAAAAGAGCCTCAACCATTGAAACCTCCCCCAGTTTAGTGTGCTTTCCTGGAGTCCTCACAGCCACCTAAAACACCAAGCCTATTCCCCACTTCTCACTTTACCTTCTCCTCAATAGTCATTTTTACTTTTCCAGAGAGAAGAGGTTAAAGATAAAGAAACTACTTAATTCTCTTTTCCTTAGAATATATGTGCATATGTATGTGTTAACTCCCAGGATTTGTGAACACAACAATATGAACTTTGATGGAATGTAGGCAGGATTGGAAACCTTGACTTAGTCCAGACCAGAATCTTCTATCTTGGCTTGACTGCTATTTGTTGATATTTAAGATACTGAGTTGTGAGCCTTTGTTTGGTGTGGATGAAATTTTAACTTTTTTAGGTATTGGCAGAAACAGAGTCTATAAGAATGCTCTATTTCATTATCTTAGACAAAAAGTACAATAATTTAGGGGAACCTGGGTGGCTCAGTGGATTAAGCCTCTGCCTTCGGCTCAGGTCATGAGCTGGGTCCTGGGATCAAGCCCTGTATCAGGCTCTCTGCTCAGCAGGGAGTCTGCTTCCCCCTCTCTCTGGGGGGAAGAGAATCTGCCTCTGCCTACTTGTGATCTCTCTCTGTCAAATAAATAAATAAAATCTTTTTTAAAAAATATAATAATTTTTAATGCACATATACATTATACATTTTTTCATTATACATTTGATATATGTGTATCTTAATTTTTTCTGTTATAAAAAGCTATGTATCTATGCCTATATCAAATCATTATGTTTTACACCTTAAGCTAATACAGTGTTGTATGTCAATTATATCAATAAAACTGGAGAAAAAAACCCTGGGGAAAACAAAATAAATGTTACATATCTTTAGTTGTAAAAATTCAAACCATATGAAAGTATAAAAATTTAAAAGTGGTGGGGCACTTGGATGGCTCAGTCGGTTAAGTGGCTGCTGACTCTTGGTTTCAGCACAGGTCATGATCTCAGTTGTGACATTGAGCCCCGAGTCAAGCTCTGCACTCAGTACGGAGTCTGCTTCTCTCTTTTTCCCTCTCCCTTGGCCCCTTCCTCCACGTGCATGCACATGTGCTCTCTCCCTCTCTCTCAAACAAATAAATAATAAATCTTTTTAAAAATCTTTTATAGAAAATTTATTTATTTATTTATTTGACAGATTGAGAGAGAGATCACAAGTAGGCAGAATGGCAGATGGAGGGAGAGGGAGAAGCAGGCTCCCTCCTGAACAGGGAGCCTGATGAGGGGCTCGATCCCAGGACCTTGGGATCATGACCTGAGCCGAAGGCAGACGCTTAACTGACTGAGCCACCCAGGCTCCCCAATAATAAATCCTAAAAAAAAAAAAAAAAAAGTAAAAAGTGGTGTTCGCTTCAGTAGCACATATACTAAAACTGGAACAAAATGGAGAGATTGGCATGGCCCATACATAAAGTTGACTCGCAGACTGGTGAAGTGTTCAAAAACAAAAAGTGAATAGTGAAAACTCTTGTTTTCTTGTCAGTGCTTTAGCTGTTCAGTGAAAATTAAAAATTCGGTGAAAATCTAGAAATAGGGGAATACATAGATATTTTAAGAACAGCTTTTTATAGTAGGTTTTGCATACAATAAATATCACCTGTTTCATGTGTACGATCCCGTGAGTTTTAGTAAATATACAGTGGTGTAACCATTACCACAACATATATATTTTTTAGAAAAATAAACAGTAACTTTCTTCATTCCTATCTAACCTAGTCTCCCAATTCTAAAAAAAGGGTGCCTGGCTGGCTCAGTCAGTGGACCATGCAACTCTTGATCTCAGGGTCATGCATTCAAGCCCCACATTTAAACATGGTTTGGAGGCTACTTTTGAAAGCTTTTGGGTAGTTCTCTTCCTGCAGATTAAGCTACCTAACCATCAAATACCAGCTGGGTTCATTCCACTTTCTTATCAGTGAAATCTGCTATTGTAATTTAATTAAAATTTAGAAAATTTTTATGTGAGCATAAAGAAAGAGATGTTTCTATGAAAACTAAGTTGGATGCTTTGGAAAGCTTGTTAAAATCAAATTGCTAAAAACTTATTACATTAGGCCTAGATGAGAATTCTGTGATTGGAAGAACTACACACATCTAGAAGAACTGCGTTCAGATTGCTTCTCAAGTGCCTTCCAATTATTGCTCCACTTTAAAGAAACCTTTAAAGAAATTATGGGTGATTTGTTAAAGGCAAGAAGTACAAATCACTCTAAGAAACACTTCAACCACTGGCCCCATAATCACAGAAAAAGCCTGAGGCTATCTCAAAAGATTGATGAAGCAATTTACCTTTACAAGTCTTAAGTTTAAAGAAAAGAGTGACTTATAATATACCATAAACTTACCTTTCTTGCTTTTTTTTTTTAAGATTTCATTTATTTATTTGACATAGAGATAGAGCCAGAGAGTATAAGCAGGATGGGGGTGAGAAGGCAGAGGGAGAAGGAGAGGCAAGCTGCCTGGTGAGCAGAGAGCCCAGCTGCCTGGTGAGCAGAGAGCCCAACGCGGGATCGATACCAGGATCATTAACCTGAGCTGAAGGCAGATGCTCAAGTGAATGAGCCACCCAGGTGCCCATAAACTTACTTTTCTTAAAATAAACAAAACCGTATACTGTATAATGCTTTATAATTCTGCATTTTAATTTTTTTTTCAAGTAACAACTAACCATCAGGTCCAACAGCATCAGATAAAAGGACCTCAGGTTGGTGTGCAACCAGCTTTTCCTTTACAATATATTGAGGACATTTTTTTTCTTTTTTCTTTTTTTTAGAAAAGATTTTATTTATTCATTTTTTCGAGAGAGCGCTTGAGTGTGGCAGCGGGAGGGGCAGAGGGAGAAGCAGACTTCCAGCTGACCAGGAAGCCTGATGAGGGGCTCAATCCCAGGACCCTGGGATCATGACCTGAGCCCAAGACAGCTGCTTAAGGGACTGAGTCAAGCACCCTTGAGGACATTTTTCATATAGCTGTATAAAAATCTAGCATGTGGGGGCGCCTGGATGGCTCAGTGGGTTGGACCTCTGCTTTTGGCTCAGGTAGTGATCTCAGGGTCGTGGGATTGAGCCTCACATGGGGCTCCTTGCTTGGCGGGGAGCCTGCTTCTCCCTCTCTCTCTTCTTGCCTTTCTGACTACTTGTGATCTCTCTCTCTCTGTTAAATGAATAAATAAATAAATCTATCTCTTAAAAAAAATCTACCTTATCCTTTATAAAACTCACCTTATAATACACTATTGTATAGTGGATATATCCTAATTTGCTTACCAAATTCTCTATTTTGAAAATTTCCTGAAAAAATATTTTGAACAGGGAATTGAGAGGGTGAAAGTGGATTAAGATATTGAATCGGGGGCGCCTGGGTGGCTCAGTGGGTTAAAGCCTCTGCCTTCCGCTCAGGTCATGGTCCCAGGGTCCTGGGATCCAGCCCCGCATGGGGCTCTCTGCTCCCTGCGGGGAGCCTGCTTCCTCCTCTCTCTCTGCCTGCCTCTCTGCCTACTTGTGATCTCTGTCAAATAAATAAATAAAATCTTAAAAAAAAAAAGATATTGAATCAGGCAATAGAACTTGAAGTGGATTAAAGAGTAGGGGGGAATGGAAAAGGAAGAAATGGTTCCTGCACTCATCCAGCTCTGAAATTAAACCAGAAAGTGGCAGTGGTTTACACATCCAACAGATGTTCTTATCTCTCTGGCTGCCCTGCCATTTATTTAAAAAACACACCATTCCTTTCTCCCTCTCCATCTTGGCTCAGTCCAGTCCGCCTACATTTCATCTTTGCCTGTTGAAATCCTAATTTTCCTTCAACTTCAAGAACAAATACCACACCTGGTCATTATTAGCCCTGGCTGGAAATGATCTCTCCCCTTCCATTGCTGATAGCGAGCTGAATCCCTCCTTCCTTTCCTCCTTCCACAGAGCACTTTTCTCTCCAAGGTAGTACAGTGCAGTAGCTCAGTCACAACTTTGGACCCACCAATTTGCTATCTCTGTGAACTTTGCAAGTTACCCAAATTCTCAGTGTCTCAGTGTCCAGACCTGTAAAATGGGGAGAAGGGTACGCAGCGTTATTAGGAAGACTAAATCCGTTAACAGGTATAAAGCACTTAGAAGGATGTCTGACGTGTAGTAAGCGCCAGATAAACCTGGACATTCATTTTGACTGGCGGTGGCGGAAAGTGTGGAGCTGGCGGTCCGCCCCAGCGAGCGGGAGAGCGCGGTCACATGATTGGGTCAAGATGGCGTCGCCCAGCTGCTTGTGGTTCTTGGCCGTCGCTCTCTTGCCCGGGTCCTGCGCTGCACGGGCGCTCGGGCATCTCGACCCGGCCGCACCGCTGCCGCTGGTGATCTGGCATGGGATGGGTGAGTGAGGGAGAAGCGAGTCAGAAGGGTTTGACAACTCCTTCTCTTTCCCAGACTGGGTTCGCGTCTGCAGAGTGCGAGTGTGGAGGGCGAAGACCGTGGCTGCACAGCGATCGGCTGGCCCGACGTCTGTGGATTTGGGGGGGATGCTCTGCACTGGAAAGGGAGAGGGGGAAGGGACTGTCCTCTGGTGAGTGCTCACACAGAGCCGTGCATTGCGTTAGGGTATTTCGTGCTGTTCTTGTTTAATCCTCAATGGCAGTGGCGTCAGAGTGCAGCGTCTGGTACTTGGTTGGGCAGTCCTGGCTGTGGCTGCATGACCGGGGCATCCAACATTTTACTCATTGACACACTGAATAGATTTGTCAGGTACCTGCAGCTCCTTTTAGTAGGTATCAAGCACCTACTAGATGCTGCAGATACGACAGTGAACAGACCAAATTCTTTGCCCTTTTGGAACTTACTTTCCAGGGGGAGAGAGAGACTATAAAGAAATAAATAAGCAAAACATATAATACGTTTTAAGTAAAATGGTGATAAGTGCAATGGAGAAAAAGAAAGCAGTAGGAGGATAGAAATGGGAGGTAGGGGCTTGCGATTTTATGAGGAAGGTCAGGAAAGGATTCACTGAGAAAATGACATCTGTACAAAGACCTGAAGTGGATGAGGGAAGCTGCCCTGTGGATAGCTGGTAGAAGGAACAGTAAATGCAAAGACCCTGAGGTGGAAGTATGTCTGGTATGTTGAAGGAACAACATTCAGGTCAGTGGGGCGGGAACTGAGTGAGCAAGGAGAAGAAAATAGGGGTTTAGGTTGGGAGGGTGCCAGTGTTGGGCCTACTAAGGGCATTGGCTAGAATTTGAGATGGGTAGTCCTTGGGGGGTTTTGAGCACATGAGTGACATGATATGACTTACATTTTAAAAGGACCGCTCTAATTGCTCTATTTATATCTCAGGGTTGTGAGTTCAAGTCCTGTGTTGGACTCCACACTGGGCATGGAGCCTACTTAAAAAAAAACAAAAAGAATAGATTGTAGGGGATTATAGACGTTTGGAGGAACACAAGTTAGGAAGCTACTGCAACCATTTAAACAAGAGATGGTGGGTGGCATGAAACAGGATAGTACTGGGAGATGCTGAGAAGTGGTCAAAGTTTCGGTATCTTCTTTTTTTTTTTTATTTTTTATTTATTTATTTATGAGAGAGAGAGAGAGAGAGAGAGAGAGCGAGCACAGGCAGACAGAATGGCAGGCAGAGGCAGAGGGAGAAGCAGGCTCCCTGCAGAGCAAGGAGCCCGATGTGGGACTCGATCCCAGGACGCTGGGATCATGACCTGAGCCGAAGGCAGCTGCTTAACCAACTGAGCCACCCAGGCGTCCCAGTTTCGGTATCTTCTGAAGGCAAAACCAATGGGATCTGTTAACAGGTTAGATTCAGGATGAGAGAGAAAGAAAAGAGTCAAGGATGATTTTGTGGGTTTGGGACTGGACAAGTAGAAGGAAGAAGTTGTCATTCTACCAAAATGAGGAAGCCTGTAGGGCCAGCAAATTTGGGGTGGGGAGAAGATGAAGAGTCTGCTTTGGACTTACTAGATTTGAGATGCTCATTAGACATTCAGGAGATGTAGAGGCATTTGGAGTGCAGAGTATAGGACAGAGATATGAATTGGAGGTTTAAGTTGGGAGCCTTCCGTGTATGGTTGGCATTTAAAGCCACGAAACTGGACAGGATCATGGGCATTAATATCCACAGGAGGAAAGAGTTCTCAAGATGGAGCCCTGAGACACTACCAACATTTGGAGGTTGAGGAGACAGTGATGGTGGAGGAACGTCAGAAGAGTACAGTGTCCAGGAAGTCCAGTGAAAATGTTTCAAGAGGAAGGGAGCAATCAGCTGTATGGAATTTTATCAGCAGGGCAACTGAGAACAGGTTATTGCGTTTAACAATTTGAAGATCACTAATGACCTTAACCTAGGCAGTTTGGGGAACATGATGAAGGTGACAGCCTTATTGGATTGAGTTAAAGAAAAGTGTTCAAAGAGCAATTAGAGCCGGCAAATACAGTTTTTTCAGCTCTCTGTGCTGGGCTCTGGGGCTATTGCAAGAGATTTAAAAGAAGTTATGAGAGAAATAGAAAATGCTCTAAGCCTTAGCTTTTCCCCTAAAAATGAATTCTCAAGCCTTCCTCTCAGGTTAGAAACCTGATGATTCAGCTCCAAATGGAGGATGACCTCTGCCTATTTCTCTGGGTGAGTGGCTGGTCACTCTGCTTCTGGTTTTTAGTTCTGGTTCCTAGAAACAGGAAACAGGACTGGGAGTAGGGTGAGCAGGGAGACCCCCAAAGTGCAAAATTTAAGAAGGCATTTACTCCCATAAGAGACTCTTTTTTTTTTTTTTTTTTTCCGTAAGAGACTCTTAATTTCACAAAACAAACTGAGGGTTGCCGGGGGAGGGGGGTAGGTAGAGGGTGGTTGGGTTACAGGCATTGGGGAAGGTATGTGCTGTGGTGAGTGCTGTGAAGTGTAAACCTGGCGATTCACAGACCTGTACCCTTGGGGTTAATAATACATTATATGTTAATATAAATAAATAAATAAAAATAAATTTTTTAAAAAAAGAAGGCATTCACTCTCTAGTTTGTAGAAGCTTAGGGTCAGCACTTGCACAAACCTGTGAGTGAGTACCTCCTCAAATTTCGTGTCCCAGGTTCTTTCCTTGCCTTTCCCCAGCCCTCCAGTCTGGCTCCTAAGTGCTTTTGAATCTATTATTCCCAAATGTTCCAGATGATAAGGGAGCATAATAAGCATCTCTCCTTATTTTTCAGTTGTGAATTTCGTGTGCCAGTTATATTGTATGGGCTTTTGAAGTTTGTTATTATTTGATAAACATGAGCCAAGCAAAAAATGTTCTTTTTTAAAAATTGGAATGAAACAAATATAACCTACAATTAACCATGTTAAAATATACAATTCAGTGGCGTTTAGTGGGTTCACTATGTTGTACGACTACCACTTCTCTCTAATTTCAAAGCTTTTTCATTACCCTACAAAACACCAGTATCCCTTAAGTAATCACACTGTTCCCCGCTCCCAGCACTCCCTGGAAATGTTCAATCTGCGTTCTGTCTATATAGATTTGCCTATTCTGGATATATGTATATACATAGGTAATCATGTATTATGTTACCTTTTATGTTTAGCTTATTTCACATACAGTAATGATTTTTAGGTTCATCCACATTGCAACATGTCAGTGCTTCATTCTTTTTTCTGGCTGAATAATATTCATCTGTGTGTATATACCACAGTTGGTTTACCCACTCATCCATTGATGGACATTTGGGTCATTTCCACCCTTTAACTATTATGAATAATGCTGCTATGAACACTGATGTACACATTTCTGTGTGGGCATGTTTTAATTTCTGTTGGGTAGAAATCTAGAAGTGAAATTGCTGGGTCATGTGGTAATTGTTAGGTTTGACTTTTTGAGGAACTACAAAATTTTCACAGTGGCTGCATCATATCACACTCCCACCAGCAATACAAGGGTTCCTATTTCTCCACATCCTTGTAACACTTGTTACTTTCCATCTTTTAATTAAAATGTTTTTATTAAAGCCATCCTAGTAAGTATGAAGTGGTATCTCATTATAGTTTTGATATGCATTTCCTTAATGACCAGTGATGTTGAGCATGTTTTCATGTGCTTGTGTTCTTTGGAGATAAGTCTGTTCAAGACCTTTTTCCATTTTTTAATTAGATTAACTTCTTTTTGAGTTGTAAGAGTTCTTTGTATATCCTGGGTATTAAACCCTTATCAGGTATATGTTTTGCAAATATTTTCTCCCATTCCATATGTTTCACATTCTTAATAATACCCTTTGAAGTATATAACTTTTTTAAAAAAATGTGTAATTTTTTGGCTCATGAGTATCTCCCATTGTCTTTGTTGTCTAGGAGATAGCTGTTGTAATCCCTTAAGCATGGGTGCTATTAAAAAAATGGTTGAGAAGAAAATACCCGGAATTTATGTCTTATCCTTAGAAATTGGGAAGACCCTGATGGAGGTAAGGCCCTTCACAGTTGTGTTCCTCTGAAGGTTTGCTGACTGATTTCGTAGAACGTACTATTAAAATGCTTTGCCTTGCATTTTTAGCAGCAGATCATACAATGATACTTGAACTCTTGAGTGGCTTATGTGAGGCTTCCAACCTGAATCTGTTTGGCCTCTTAGGGAAGATGCCATTGGTGGTTTTCATCCTGACTTTTCTCTGTGGCTCCTCTTTCAGGATGTGGAGAACAGCTTCTTCTTGAATGTCAATTCCCAAGTAACAACAGTGTGTGAGATTCTTGCTAAAGATCCTAAATTGCAGCAAGGCTACAACGCAATGGGATTCTCCCAAGGAGGTCAATTTCTGTAAGTTCCTTTCTGTTCGATAGTACTATTTATGTGGAATTGATCTTTTCCTTATATTCGGGTAGATCCACTCCTCTAATTCTTTTGAGCATTTCATCTCTCTTGGAAGGAAAGGTATTCTAAATTGTCTCCATGTAAAAAGCTTTATGAAACTTAATTTATTTTCTGTGAAAGAATAAAGATTTGCATTTGACCATACTGGGGGAAATCCTGATGCTCCATGGCTTTGGGGAATCACAGAGGATGAAGTAGCTTAATCTGGGAATTTGGAGGTTAAAGATACATTTTTATCTGACTGTTGGAGCTGATAATCCTTTTTTTTTTCCCCAGGAGGGCAGTGGCTCAGAGATGCCCATCACCTCCCATGATCAATCTGATCTCGATTGGGGGACAACATCAAGGTAACTTTGGTCTCTTTGCCTCCTTTTTTTTCTCTGTTCTAATCCATGTGACCACTTGATTTTAAAACATTCCAGCAGCTCTATTTGTTCAAGAAGTCAGCCATCCTTGGAAAGTCCCGTTATAATAAACTAGCCAGAATTAAAGAAATAGGAAGAAACTTGGGATTCTAGAAGCCAAGAACACAGGGGAATGAGGTTGCCAACTGCTTCTCTCCAGTTTAAATGACATGATTTCCTGGAGGTGAGGTGGTTGCAGCCACATGGCAGGTGGTGATTGAGGAGTCAGTAAGGACCAACAGTCTTTCCTTTCTTTTTTTAAAGATTTTATTTATTTGAGAGTGAGAGAGAGCACATGCACACAAGTGGGGGGAGGGGCAGAAGGAGAGGCAGAAGCAGACTCCCTGTTGAGCAGAGACCCCAATGTAGGGCTCGATCCCAGGACCCTGAGATCATGACCTGAGCTGAGAGCAGATTCTTAACTGACTAAGCCATCCAAGTGCCCTGCTTTTCCTGTTTTCTGACATTGTGATGTCTTACTGAATTTAGACTCAGGCAAACAATAACATCTGAGGGTTTTTTGTCTATAAAGTTAACAGTAGAAAATAAGTCCTTTGAAAAACAACAGGTTTTCTGTTTAGGCAGAATTACATACTTTTGGGGAAGGATGTGTCTTTGGGATAGAGTATCATCTCTGTTCTCATGGTGGCTATCAGGTGGCATAGTGTAGGGGCAAAAGGATTCTCCTTATAATCAGGAATTCACCCAGTTAACTGTTGATGATGGGCAAATAATTTGGTACTTAGATCCCTTTCACAGATGAGGGAAACTGAAAGAAGGCCTTGCCCTTCTGGTAGGAATTTTTCAGAGGATGAAGTGAGATAGTAAGTAGAAAAATACTTCTTTTGTTTGTTTAAGATTTTATTTATTTATTTATTTGAGAGAGAGAAAGAGAGCACAAGTGGGTGGAGGGGGAGAGAGAGAGGAAGGAAACAGACACCCTGCTGAGTGGGGAGCCCAACACAGGGCTCCATCCCAGGACCTTGCAGTCATGACCTGAGCTGAAGGCAGACTCTTAACTGACTGAGCCACAAACTGACAGGTGCCCCCCAAAATACTTTTTTTTTTAAAGATCTTTTATTTATTTATTTGACAGAGATCACAAGTAGGCAGAGAAGCAGTAGAGAGAGAGGAGGAAGCAGGCTCCCTGCTGAGCAGAGAGCCCGATGTGGGGCTCAATCCCAGGACCCTGAGATCATGACCTGAGCCGAAGGCAGAGGCTTTAACCCACTGAGCCACCCAGGCGCCCCCAAAATACTTTTTAAAAACACAAGTAATATTCAAATGCGAGTTGGTAAAAACAACTTTAGCATTCAGTCAACAAATATGTATGAAAATCTATAAATAAGACAGACAAGGTCCCTGTCTTCAGGAAACTTCCATTCTAGTGTGGGGGGTAAGAAATAAACAATGAAGCAAGTAAATAAATAAATACAGATAGTGGGAACTATGATCAAGAAAAAAACAGGATATGGGGCACTGGGTGGCTCAGTTGGTTAAGTGTCTGTCTCTCAATCTCAGCTCAGATCTTCATTTCAGGACCATGAGTTTGAGCCCTGTATTGGACTCCATGCTGAGCTTGGGACCTACTTAAAAAAGAGAGAGAGGGTGGTGCCTGGGTGGCTCAGTGGGTTAAGCCACTGCCTTCGGCTCAGGTCATGATCTCAGGGTCCTGGGATCAAGTCCTGCATCGGGCTCTCTGCTCAGCAGGGAGCCTGCTTCTCTCTCTCTCTCTCTCTCTCTGCCTGCCTCTCTGTCTACTTGTGATCTCTCTCTGTCAAATCAATAAATAAAAATCTTTAAAAAAATTAAAAAAAAGAGAGAGAGAGAGAGAAATAGGATAATGCTTTTTTTTTTTAAGATTTTATTTATTTATTTGACAGATGCAGTGAGAGAGAGAATACAAGCAGGGGGGAGCGAGAGAGGGAGAAGCAGGCTTCCTGCTGAGCAGGGAGCCTGATGTGGGGCTCAATCTCAGGACCCTGGGATCATGACCTGAGCCGAAGGCAGACACTTAATGGCTAAGCCACCCAGGCGCCCCAGGATAATACTTGAAGGACAGAATAGTGGTTAAAGATATGGGCTCTGGGGGTGCCTGGGTGGCTCAGTCTGTTGAGCATCTGACTCTTCATCTCACTCAGGTCATAATCTCAAGGTCATGAGTTCAAGCCCCACATTGGGCTCCATGCTGAGGGTAGAGCCTATTTTTTTCCTTTTTTTTTTTTTTTTTTAAGAATTTATTTATCTATTTGACAGACAGAGATCACAAGTAGGCAGAGTGGCAGGCAGAGAGAGAGAGGAGGAAGCAGGCTCCCCACTGGGCAGAGAGCCCAATGCGGGACTCGATCCCAGGACCCTGAGATCATGACCTGAGCTGAAGGCAGAGGCTTAACCCACTGAGCCACCCAGGTGCCCCAGGGTGGAGCCTATTTTTAAAAAAGTAAATAAATAAGGGGTGCCTGGGTGGCTTAGCCGGTTGAGCCGCTGCCTCCAGCTCAGGTCATGATCTCAGGGTCCAGGGACCAAGTCCTGCATGGGGTTCCTTGCTCAGCAGTGTACCTGCTTCTCTCTCTGCCTGCCGCTCCTCCTGCTTATGCTCTCCTTCTCTCTCTCTGACAAATAGATAAACAAAATCTTTTAAAAAATAAAAAGAAAAATAGAAAAGAAAAGAAAAAGAAAGATATGGGCTCTGGAGCCAAACTACCTGTGTTCATATCCTGGCTCTACACTTATTGTCCAACCTGAGACCAACTATTTAACCTCTCCATTTTGAAGTTTCTTTTCCATAATATGGGGTGAATAATAATTTCTACCCCACATGTTGGTTTTGAGGACTGAATGAATTACTGCCAATATATGCTTAGAACTATGCCTGGTACCGCTGAAAATGTAATTGCTGAGGCTGATGAAGATGGAAGGTATACCTGGGGGAGGGGCGAGGAAGGGGCTTGGGGACTACTTGAGTTAGGGTTGTCAGATGTGACTTCCCCAAGCTAAGACCTGAGAGCGGAATGAGCCCGACCACTGAGGCAGTGAGAGGAGCGCATCTACCAGGAAGAGCTGGTGCCAAGGCCCTTAGGCAGAAAACTCGAATGGGAGCGCAGCTGGCTATGGTATGAATTCTCAATACGCTATTTTCTTGAGGAATAGATGAATGAGATCAGAGGCTAGGTCTGGTTCATTGTCTTCCTCACCATGCCTTGCACATAGTAGGTGTTCAGTACACAGCTCTTGAGGAACGGATCTTTGTCTTCTGCTGCTGTAGGTGTTTATGGACTCCCCCGGTGCCCAGGGGAGAGTTCTCACATCTGTGACCTGATCAGGAAGACGCTGAATGCTGGGGCTTACAACAAAGCTATTCAAGAACGGTATGTATGGTTGGCTAGAAAGGATGTGGAACTGTCAGTGTGTGAAAATATCATGCTGACGTTGAAATGACGTTGACAGCAGAAATTCCAGGAGTAGTGGCCGGGGGTATGCACATGAGAGCCTTTTCTTAAGTATCTCTGTGCTGTCTGCTTGGTTATATTATAAGCCTAAAACTGCTCTAATATTAAATTTTGAAAAGGAAGGGTTTGGTTTTTTTTTAAGATTTTATTTATCCCAGAGAAAAGAGAGAAAGCGCGTGCGCGGAGAGAGTGTGAGCAGGGGGAGGGGCAGAGGGAGAGGGAGAAGCAGATTGTCTGCTGAGCAGGGAGCCCAGCTCAGGGCTGGATCCCAGGACCTTAGGATCATGACCTGATATGAAGGCAGATGCTTTTTTTTTTTTTTTAAAGATTTTATTTATTTATTTGACAGAGATCACAAGTAGGCAGAGAGGCAGGCAGAGAGAGAGCAGGAAGCAGGCTCCCTGCTGAGCAGAGAGCCCGAGTCGGGGCTCGATCCCAGGACCCTGGGATCATGACCTGAGCCGAAGGCAGAGGCTTTAACCCACTGAGCCACCCAGGCACCCCCTGAAGGCAGATGCTTAACCGCTGAGCCACCCAGGTGCCCCTGGAGTACTCTAGATGATAACTAGATTTGGGATCGACTAGTATGACAACAGCAGCTATCCTACAGGTTTTCCAAGCATATCATTCTTGTCTAATAACAGTTCTTCAGTGCAACACTTCCTTGAAGCCATTTTCCAAGGTTCAGCCCTGCCAGGGACTCTGCATGTGGAAACAACCTGTCCCTAACTCGCTCTTTGTTTCCTACCCATTGGCCACACGCAGTCACAGAGCTGTGTCAGGTCAGTAGTGCCACCTAATGGTCAGTGAGGGAAACTAAGATACTTTTTTTTTTTAAGATTTTATTTATTTAGAGAGTGAGAGAGCACAGAGGGAGAGGGAGAAGCAGACTCCCTGTCTAACAGGGACACCCCAATGTGGGGCTCAGAGATCATAATCTGAGCTGAAGGCAGACACTTAACTGACTGAGCTACCCAGGTGCCCCCATTGTTCTTTATTCTTTACTCAGTATTCTTCTAACTCTTGCCCAGATGCTTCAGAAAAAATCATCCTTTCATATCTTTGTGTTTCTTTTGTGAACCAAGCACAACCCATGGCAATGAGAATTGTTAGCGACTGAAAATGAGCAGTCATGGGGAGGAGACAGTAACACCTAAGTAGTGATTAAAAGTGGCAGATTGATGTGTTTTTTCACTTCCTCCTTAAACTGTAATAATAACCCAATAGCAAAAGAATAGAAAGTGAGAAAACCCACAAGGGCCAAGAGAACAGGAGAGGAGAGGGGAGACAAAAAAAAAAAGACATCACCATGTCTTTGAAAGAAAGCAGATGAAGGAGTGATAACTGTTTCAGCAGAGCAAAAAAGCTGAAACCTTTGTGTCTGTAGAAGGATGCCCTGACAAGAAGGGAGCAGATTCACTTTTTATAGCTCCACAGAGGGTCAGGAATTAGATGCATAATATCCTTTGGAAGGTAGAGATCGGTGCATGGAGCTAAAAACAGGACTTTTGTTGGGGGAAAAAAAATCATTTCTATTTAAGGAATGATCAAACCCCCAGTTCCCGTAAGTGCACATCCAAGTGACTGCTCCTCCCCCACTGTGACAAGAGAAGCAAAATTTATTCTCTGGAGCAATTTAACTAGAGAAGTACAAGACTCTGAGGTAATAAGTGAAGGATAGTGATGAGACACCCCACTGAAAACCCAGGCCCTCCCACTCCCCTTTCCTCCCACTTAGCTCCCAGAATGATAGCCACTAGGCTTATAACCTGCTAGTCTGATGTTCAGTGGACCTGTCTCTGGAAAACCTGAGTGGCCCCAGAGAGAAGATCTACAGACTGAGGTTTTTGAGTCCTTCAAGAAATCAGGATTCCTCTTGACTACTGTGAGGTGAAGCCACCAGGAGGTAAGCTCTGTTGTCATACAAGAAGGCTCCAGTCAGTTTGTAGTGTTTCATTTCAGCGTGAACCGTGAGCCTGGGACCCCCAGCCAGACATCTGAGGAAAGCTTCTAGTATGAAAGGCAGAGTGAAACCAATGAAAAGTAAAAAGCAACTTGGAAGGAAATGATGACAATTCAAGGAGCCAAAGAAAATCTTTAAAAAGAAAAAAGGGGGGGGCACCTGGGTGGCTCAGTGGGTTAAAGCCTCTGCCTTCGGCTCAGGTCCTGATCTCAGCGTCCTGGGATCGAGTCCCGCATCAGGCTCTCTGCTCAGCAGGGAACCTACTTCCTCCTCTGTCTCTGCCTGCCTCTCTGCCTACTTGTGATCTCTGTCTGTCAAATAAATAAATAAGATCTTAAAAAAAAAAAGAAAAAAAGAAGCCTAGAATTAGTATCTTTAGAGATGAGCAGTTACCTCTGTGGCACCAGAAAAGAATGAATAAAACCAACAATCGGAGCGTAAGAGAGAACTGGCAATTAAAAATAAGACAACCAAAATAAATGTGAGAGCGATATGGGACTATAAACTTGAGGAAATCTCTTAGAAATGAGAACAAAAACTCAAAGAGGTTTAAAAAAAAAAAAAAGGGAGAAAACTGATAAAATGAAGAGAGCTGTTTAGGAAGTCCAGGATCTGCCTGATAGGAGTTCCAAAAAGAGCCCAGAGGAGAAAGGGTGGATTGAAATTACCAAAGAAGGGGCGCCTGGGTGGCTCAGTGGGTTAAAGCCTCTGCCTTTGGCTCAGGTCATGATCCCAGGGTCCTGGGATCAAGCCCCGCATCGGGCTCTCTGCTCGGCAGGGAGCCTGCTTCCTCCTCTCTCTCCGCCTGCCTCTCTGCCTTCTTGTGATCTCTGCCTGTCAAATAAAATCTTAAAAAAAAAAAAAAATTATAAAAAAAAAAAAGAAAGAAATTACCAAAGAAGTAATACAAGAAAATTTCTCGGAATGACAGGACATGAATTTCCAGATTGAAAGGGCTCACTAAGTGGTCAGGGCAAGGGATGAGAAAAAGCCTCATGCTGGTGCATTCCTGTGACCTCTCAGAGCACGAGGAGAAAGAGTGGGCTCCGGGGAGGCCGCCCCCAGAGTCCATCCCAAGGACCATGCATTCCTGTCAGCAGTACCACCTGCTAGAAGTTTTCTGAGGAAAAGTGATTTCCATCCTAGAGTTCTGTGCAGGACCTTTAAGTACAACCACTTGTGAAGGGAAAATAAGGCCTCTTCAGACACACCAAAAAAAGAAAAAAAAAAAGATTGCCCGTCTGCTGCATGGCCTGGGGTCTGGGACCCTCCCCCCGTCAGTACTTTCCCACATGGAGATTCAGTGCAGGGCCCTCAGCTCACACTAAGTAGGCAGCTCGGGGCCGTTACCGCTAGTGGTGCCTTATTTAAAATATTTATTCAACTTGAGCTTCCTGTTTCCTTTATTTATAAGCATTGCCGTGGTTTTGTTTTCTCTTTTTGGTTGCAGTCATAAAGTATTTCATTCGTCATTTCATCAAACGTCGCCCTGCAGTTTGCCAGGCCCTGTGGTAGGTCTGGCAGATAGAGCGGAGAATAAGACAGTTAGCGACCCTGTCCCCATGAAGGAACGTTCTGGTGGGGAACGGGGGAGCTCCAAGCAAACAGAGGTGCTGGGTCACCTCTAACAATGCTAAGGCTGTGGCGGAAGTAAGCAGGATGCAGTGGTGGAGAGGTGTGGAGGCAGTGCCTACTCCAGACAGAATCGCCTTCGGAGAAGAGGAATTTAAGCTGGGGTGGAAGGATGAGAAGGAGGATGGGAGGAGCTGAGGAAAGAGCCATTAGGCCGAGGGAACAGGAGGCACAAAGGCCCGACCCTAGGACACATTTGGCTTATTCTAGGCCCCGGTGACAAGTTGAGTGATAGACGGGAGTTGGCAGGGGTGACACCCGCAAGGACAGGAAGATCACGTCGGCCATTTGAGTTTCCTTCTAAACATCAAGAGAAGCTTTTGGGAGGTTTCAAGCAAATATGGCCAGATTCAGGTGTTTGGATAGTGTCCACTGCTTTGTGGAGAGTGGACTGGAAAGCAGGTAGAGGAAAAGCAATGGGCTTCCTTAGTGTCTCAGTAAGAGGTGATGATGGCGTGGACACTGGGGTGGCCACAGTGAGATGGAGAGTAGTGGAATGGCCTGAGGTAAGTTCCATAACGTAGCTCAGTGAGACTGGCGAGCCAGGATACAGCCCAGCATTTATAACAGGGTTTCCCTCCGAAATGCTTTCTGTGTTCTCAGTGGCTCAAATACAGATCGATACTTTTCTAAATTTATGGAGTTGCTTTTTCTTTTTAAAGTTTGTTTTTCTATGTACATCTCATCTTAGCAGATGGGCAGTAGGAGATTTAAAAATGTACACATGGGGCACCTGGGTGGCTCAGTCGGTTAAGCATCTGCCTTCAGCTCAGGTCATGATCCCAGGGTCCTGAGATCAAGCCCCACATGAGGCTCCCTGCTCAGTGGGGAGTCTGCTTCTCCTTCTCCCTCTGCCCCTCCCCCTGCTTGTGCTCACTCTCTCTCTCTAATAAATAAATAAAATCTTAAAAAAAAAAAAAAAGGGCAGATAGCCCCAATAGAGGTGGGAAGGGGGCGGGGAGGGTGGAAAGGCACAGAGGGAGATCACGTTCTGGTAGTGTGGTGCTAGGCTGCCCTTTGTATCCGGGAGGATTCTGGATGTAGGAAAATAACCACATTAGCCCAAAGTAAATTTTTAAAGGAGTTCATAGTCTTTTGCTACCCAGGATTTCAGAGGGACTAGAATCAAGAAATGGGAGCCACCAAGCGCTGGGTCTGTCTCTCCCACTGGCATTTCTGTTGCCTCTGTGGACATGAACACTGGCCTCTCTGGCCACCCATGTGGTAAAAGGTGGCCTTGCCCAGCTTCCAAACTTTTTGTTTGTTTGTTTTTTAAGATTTATTTATTTATTTTGGAGAGAAAGAGAGAGTGCCTGCAGGAGCA